CCCTATATATGAAGGGTATTTTCCGATTTGTTTTTGATAGACGCTTCCAAGTCATATAATTGGTCGTGGTCTTCGGTTATGGGAGGAGGTTAACGAAATTAAGAACAAAAACCTACCCTTTAAAGTTCTCAAAGTCTATATTATTCCCAATATAATCTTTTTAGCATGTATAAATTTTCTTCATCCACCAACAGAAATTTCGCGGTCATTTGCATCTGAACGTCAGCGTCAAATTGGTTTGAGTGATTCTGATGATATGAAGGAATCTGAGCAATATAATGATAATCTATCGCAGACATCACGTTCAAAGATTTCGAATAAAATGAATGATTTAGCTGAAATGACATATTTTATGAATAAGAAATAATTCAATTCAAGTTTGGTGTTTGTACTTATTTCAGATGATGATGTTATTGTCACTGATGGTCTCTGACACAATGAGTGCACATCGATTTAGCTCATTTTCAGTAAGGTTATTACTGATTAAAACATTAATCAAACTTGATACAGATATAGATTTACGTGTTGAATTTGAATTTGATGCATTTTAGAGAGAAATACTAGTTTCCTTCTGTATGACTCTTGTTTCTTGCCTAAATTTAATTCTATCTTCGTCATCTCGATAACGATAACAGAATATATTAGCCGTGAAATGTATCATACAATTGACAAGTGTCTGATAGTAAATTAGCAGAGCTTTCTATAAGTGAAAGGATTTAGAACATAATCAGAACAAGAGAAGGAGGTGTTGTGACATGCATAATTTCGTTTTTAAAAGTTAAAAAAGGGTGATATTCATCGTGTGTTCTATAGTTAATAGGTCAAGGAAGCAACATGGAATATCCTGATTTCTAAATTGTGAAAGTCCTTGTTTCATGAGTTGGCTGCCATTTTGAAGAGAACACTTTAGGCTATTTACGCATAAAAAAAATCATCTATTGCTGCTTTATCGTTAAGAGTCAGATGCAAATGACTACGAAATTTCTGTTGGTGGATGAAGAAAATTTATCCATGCTAACAAAGTTATATTCAGAATAGTATAGACTTTGAGAACTTTAAAGGGTAGGTTTTTGTTCTTAATTTCGTTAATCTCCTCTCATAACAGAAGACCACTACCAATTATATGACTTGAACAATAAGTCTTTCTGTTGATCTTCATGAAATCTTTTTTTCAACTGAGATTGACCATACGAAGTGTCACTTTGACGGTTCCTGGTTTACACCTCTATAATAAAAATTAGGACAAAAAAACTTATATCATTTATAGAGCTTTCTATAAGTGAAAGGATTTAGAACATAATCAGAACAAGAGAAGGAGGTGTTGTGACATG